TTTAAGAACAATGCCTCTTGTGATGAACCACACTACTTACTTCGCCTGGCTTACTCTACACAGAAATGACAACGCCACTAAGCTACTTTTACATGAGGAAAAGCACACCCTCGCCACAGCCTCGCTCGCACGCTCGTCGGGACTTCGTCTGCTTGGCTGTAGCGTTGTTTATTCCGTGGAATGTCTACTGGAGCAAGTACGCCTTTTATTTTTTTTATCTTATTTTTTGTCCGTGAATAAAAGTCTGTGAGGCATGTTTATTCACCAAGAAATTCACTTAGAAGTTATTAAAATGCGATGTGATCTTGTGTTGTCGTTCATGACTTCATACTGGCGAGCTTTAAGGTTTTATAAGTTGTAACTTATTATATCCAGTTTATTTAAAAAGATAATCTTATATATAACTGTAAAGTTCCCTTGATATATATGTTTTCTATAATTTTATGAAAGAAGATAATGTGCTGATACATATTGTTGATTGTATTTTGTATTCTATCAACGAAAGGTAAAGGTTCGATCTTTAGCAAACATTCATAAAATTTGATTAAAGTTTAGTTTGCACTTGATTAATAAGATGATCTTCTATTTCAATATATGTGCATGTAAAAGATTTTGTAAATGAGTGCATAAATACATGCATGTACCCATACACGATGTAAAAAATAAAAATTTTCCGATACTAGAGAAATCCGGATAGGTCTGGATTAGATTAAAGAAACGACTCCGAATATAAACACGGCATCGTCTGCGAAACACGAAGTTCACCGGAACTATAATGAATAGCGTGAATAGACTATAGTATAGTCTACAACCCTTTAAAAGAAAAAAGAAGTGTAATGGAAAGTAATTTGACAAACTCGTGACTTCACGCACAATAAGAGTTTTGGCATTGTTGGGAGGCAAGAATTATTAGTAGTTAATGACAAAGTATAGAAATTTGTGTAGGATTGAAAAATACTCTTGTTGAAATTAAATACTTATTGAGAACAACTGTAGAATAAAAGGGCAATTTTTCAGAATACCTTCGCATAAATGATCATGCCAATTTTGGTATTGATAAGTCAGCCATTATATTGTCTAATGCAGGGGGCTGTTCCCCCTGAGACCACCCTCCTAGGGGGCTTCTGCTCTCAACTCTCGCAAGGGAAGACAAAGAATCCACCATGTATACCTGGCAGGGTAGAGTATACAACTAGCATGTGGGATCACTGTGCTGTCTGTATGACACTATCCTGCCGTCATATGTGGGGGATTTTTTATTATCCTGGGTGGGGGTTTAGGGTTGGCAGTATAGGAAGGTATTATCATCATGTTATATTGTTAGTGTACCCCATAATTTTTATGGAACCTTCCATGCCTTCCCCTGCTATAGGTGCCAAGAATGTGGGGTTTTGGGGGTTCTGCATCATAATTCCTACTATTTGTTTTGATTGGTTATGGGAAGATATTATTAAAAATTACTAGTTAAAGCAATCCTAGGCAATTGGGTTTCATTGTTTGTCATCATCATTATCAAAGAAATTATTGCTGATTATAATGATGGTGATGCTATTGTTGTGATGATGACAGTGGGTGTGGTAGTATAGATAATGATATCTACCAGTAATGGCAATTAGAAAAAAAAAACAGTGAGAATTATATATGTACTGATCAGCCATAAGGAAGGTCTAGAATTGTAGAGCTTGATAGATTTATTTGTCTTTTCTTAAGTCCAAAATGCTATCAGCTATTGCATGTGATAGGGGGTAGGGTTATCTGAAAATTTTACCTTGACAGTAATACTGATAGTATGAAATATAATTTTTAGATTAATTTTGATTTTTGTGAATGATGAAACTATTGTCATTATCATTTGTTTTATTACCAGCAGTAGTAGTGATAAATATGTTATTATGGTAATTAGACTATGGTTATTCATTATTATTACTAATCATCAGTAGCACTATCATCATTTTCATCAATATGTTATGTGTAGAGCACATCAGACCTTAAAAAAAAAAACGAAAGAAAAAACAGTTTTATTTCCATGTCTTTTAGTTGTTACATTAAAATTCAATAGAATTTGGAAATTCCACCCCCCCCAAAAAAATAAAAAAAATAAAAAAATAAATATATATATATACAAAAATTAATCTTCTTTTGGTGCATGCTGATGAATACTAATATGCTGCACCTGCTGTTAACCCAAAGGATTAGGAATTTAACTTAGCATAATTTGAGTAGGAAATTCCTGTCTCTGTGTATCAGCATTGTAGTATTGTTACTTTTTTCTGTAATATAATTCATCGCAAAATATCTCTGGTGAATTATTTCATAGCTACTGGTGCAACATGTAAAGTTATTTTATGAACCAGAGTTTTCCAAACTAGGCTATGCATTATGTAAGTTTTTTGTGAGAGTACCAAGGCAGCAGTGATAAGCAAAACATTGTATCATGCATTTTACATGATTTTCTTTTAGTAGTTGTCTCATGCTCTAACATTAGCTTCATATCTATCATTTCCTATATCACTATATGTAAGTATTTCTTACTTTTAAGTGTTTAATCTTTATAAGGGGTAGAATAGTAATGGTATGTTTGCCTTTTCTTAGAATAATGGGTAGCTATGTAGGATATAAAGAAGACCAGGATGTTCAGCTCACTCCAGGAGACCATGCTGTTGCTGGTGCTGTAAGTGGAATGGTCACTCGAGCTCTTATCCAGCCCCTTGATGTTCTTAAAATTAGGTTTCAGGTAAATATAAATACAGGTCTCCTTTTAGATGCTGTTGCAAAAATGATAAGAGTACTGAGTGAAGAATATTGATATAAAGATTATTTTCAAATTTTTAAATGAGTGGAATACCAGATGTGTTCCTATATCTGTTACTGTATTAGATGAAAATGAACTTACAATTATATACCTGAATAACAGCAGTTTTTCCTTTTGAAAGTCAGTTTATTGATTTGAAGTCTTTAAGTAATTTGGTTTGTTAGTTAACTCACATCTTTCTATCTCTAAAAGCTGCAAATTGAACCAACCACAAGGCGTGGTGGGGGGCTGTACCATGGGATTTTCCAGAGTCTATTCACAATTGCAAAAAGTGAAGGTCCTTCAGCTCTCTGGAAAGGGCATCTTCCAGCTCAAGCACTAAGTGTTGGATATGGTGTTGCACAGGTAAGATACTTCCTTAATTAGTTTTCAAAAATGTGACCAAAACTATATTTTGTGTTATTCAGAATGGTAGAAGACTGATCAGTCATTAGGTGTGAATACAAGTATATGGAATAGAAAATGAGTTAATTACTCTTTTAATTATTATGTAAACCATATTTGAGTGTTTTTGTTTCTTGTTAACTCTTTCAGTTCTGGAGTTATGCAGTTCTCACTCAGGCAGCCACTGAGCATGGTTTTCCTCATGGATTGTGTGGAGGACTTGCTGGATTTTGTGGAACATTGGTATCCATGCCATGTGATGTGATACGTACCAGGATGGTTGCACAAGGAACTCCAAAGGTTAATTCCATTCTCTAAATTTTGTAAATGCTTCATAAAATTTTACTTACAGAAAATGTTAATTTGATTTGTTGATGATTGCATACAGTTTTTTACATTTTGAATGAAGAAATGAACAAATATTAGTAGTTATAATTTGTATATAGAATTATTCTATTACCGTAGGATTTATTTATTTTCTCCTTTCTTTTGCTCTTGTATATGACATTATATGGTGCTGATATATGATATTTATATAAGGATTATTTGTACAGCAATTTTACTTTTTTATCTTGTGTTTTATAAGATGCATTATTTGATAAGTGATACCACATACAATTATTTATTTCATTTCATAGTATTACAGTGGTATGATGGATGCAGCAGTGAAGATGGTTCGGCAAGAAGGAGCATTAAGTTTATGGCGTGGCTTTCTACCAACTGTTGCTATGAATGCGCCAAGTTCTGGACTCATCTTCTATTTCTATCATGCATTTCTTGCGCTTACTAATAATCTTATTGGCGATGGTAAGATTTGAAGTAGATGTGTAATTGACTTAAATTTCCAAATGGAAACACACTTTATTAAATGAAATTGATATACTAGAAAGAATTACATAGCTTGCATAGATTGGGTTATTTAGATATTTCAGTTCATGATCATGACAAAATAATTCTATGAAATTGTGTATGCTTTTCTCAAGCAAAAATAGGATTCATAAGTTTATGAAATTCATTTATATATTTCATTCATAACCAGTTCAACTGTCTTAGGGATCTTTTTTTATTTAATATTTGTATGAGTGCATGAATGTCTGTATCAGATAATGATTAAAGTAATAATAATAATGATTGTAATAATGATAGTGATTATAATGATAATGAAAATGATGAAAATAATGATAATAATAGTAATGATAATAATGATAATTTTAATAATGATAATAGTAATTATGATGATAGTGATGATGATAAAAATAATGATGATAACAGTAATAGTAATGATAATGATAATGATAATGTAATAATAATAACAACAATAGTAACAGGAATAATGATAATGATAATGAATAGTAATAATGGTGATAAGGATATTAATAAAAAGAATAATGATAATAATGACAATAATGATAACAACAATGATGATAGTAATGATGATAAAGATATACTGATAATGATACCAGTAATGATAATGAGATTGTGATCATGAAAATTGTATTGCTCATACTCAAAAAAGTATTCACAATTATGATTATGGAAATGAAGAAATAGGATATATGGGGTAATGTGTTTGTATATTAATTGGCTTGTCTTTGCTTCTCTTCAGTATTCCATCTTCCCTGGCTGAGTTGCAGCGCTTTGAGTGGGATGGCGGCAGGCGTGTGTGCCAAAGCCATTCTCTATCCTCTTGATGTTCTTAAAAAGAGAATGCAGATCCGAGGCTTTGAAAGTAACAGAAAGCAGTTTGGCAAGGTACGTTCTCTTATCCTGATGCATCTCTATAGACACATATGTTCAGTAAGTGGTACTTGTGTTTGTTCTATGGTTTTGCTGAATGTCTGATTCTTGTTCATTTCTCTTCTATTTCCCTATTCTCTTCCGTTTTCAGTTGAATTTTCATAAAAAAGAAATAATAATAATAATGATAATGATAATGAATGATAATGATAAATATAATGATAATGATATCAATAATGATAATGAAGATAATGATAATAATAGTAATGATAATAATATAACAATAATAATGATAATAATGATGATGATGATGGTAATAATAATAATAATGATTGTAAAAGTAATGGTGATAATGCTAATAATCATGGTAATAATAACAATAATAATAATGATAAATGATAACAACAACAAACAACAACAACAACAACAACAACAACAACAATAATAATGATAAAAAAAAAAATTGATGTTGATAATGATGATAATGATAATAGTGATATTGATCATGATAATAATAACTACAATAATAATGGTAATGTTGATAATAATGATAATGATGGTAACATATAATGATAATGATGATGACAAAAATAACAATAATAATAAAAGTAATTATAATGATAGTGATGATGATGATGACAATGATGGTGATGAAGTAACAATATAATCTAATGATAATAATAGTATAATGATAATTATAGTAATAATGATAATAATAATTATAATCATACAATCCTATTCATAATAAATGATAATGATAATCATAATCATATAATCATAATCATAATAATAAAATAATGATGATGATAATGATAATAATACTGATCATGAAAATAATAACAACAATAACATGATGTTGTTGTAGTTGTTGTTATTGTTATTGTTATTATTTTCTTTTTTTTATTTTTGTTATAGTTATTATTAATATTGTTATATTTGTTATAATGTTATTGCTAATACTGTGGATTGCATTATGAAGAATATTTGTTATTGTTTTATGAATATTAACATTATTGATGTTGATAGCAATGTCATAATAACTTTTTTATATTTTTCTGACTATAATTCCTAACATTTTCTTATTCCTTCCATAGGTTATTGTATATACAAATGTATGGAAGTACATATCAACTGTGATGCAGGAAGAAGGCATGCAGGCGTGGTTTAAAGGACTTTGTCCGAGTATGATCAAGAGTGGCTTAGCAACAGGGGTCATTTTTGTTTCATATGAAGCCACCTGTTACGTTATTTCTGTTGCCCGTGGAAAGAGTACTAGTCCAGATGACACCAGCAAATGACGATGATAATATCTTTCTCTTTTTGACGAACCTCAGATTTAGTCAATATTGTTTCAGCCTATTGAAACCCTCAAAGACGTGCCTTATAGGTAGTACTTGTGATTACAGTTCTCTTCCTTCTAATGCATATAGACTCAGAAATAGCTTATTATTATTATTCTTTATAATCTTCATTATCTCTCACTCTTTTCAGGAATTATTTAGGGATATGTCAGATGATCTTGATGTTTCTGAATCAGTTGATATTAATTACTATTGCATTATGAATCCAAATATCTTGCAAACAGTGATCTGTGATAATAATTTATAAAATACATACAAAGATTTCTTAGACATAAGTTTTGTACAGTGTATATAATTTTTGTGAATATGATGATGTTCATCATTTTGTGGATATTTACATGATATTGCATACTGAAAATATATGATTATAAATATCCAGTATGCAACTGTTATGTTTGTAGTATTTTAAATAGAGGCTGCTCCATGCAGATATTTAGAATAAGTCTGTTTTCTTATTTATTCATACCATCACCATTTACTTTCCTCATGTAAATGCCTACATATTCAAGTATGATGATGGCAAAAAACATTTAGGAAGTTACATAGGGAAATAAAAGAGGTTGCTGGTCAAATATTTTATTTTAGATGCATATATAATTTATATATCGTTATTATGATTTATATATACTCTGTGTGTGTGTGTGTGTGTGTGTGTGTGTGTGTGTGTGTGTGTGTGTGTGTGTGTGTGTGTGTGTGTGTGTGTGTGTGTGTGTGTGTGTGTGTGTGTGTGTGTGTGTGTGTGTGTGTGTGTGTGTGTGTGTGTGTGTGTGTGTGTGTGTGTGTGTGTGTGTGTGTGTGTGTGTGTGTGTGTGTGTGTGTGTGTGTGTGTGTGTGTGTGTGTGTGTGTGTGTGTGTGTGTGTGTGTGTGTGTGTGTGTGTGTGGATGTGTGCTTATTTATATATGCATACAACTTTACTTAAACAAGCTTTCTTACAAAAGGCAAGAGGTGATATTTTGAGAAATTGGTCTAAAATAAGTGACTAGTGCTGATACATCTACACACTAAATTAAAAGTTAATGCCTATATATTCAGTACAAAGCATTTACAAAAGAAAACATTTTCTGCAATGCAGTGATATCTCCCTTCTGAAGAAATATAACAAATGCAACTGTATTACCTATTTAATTATAATATTAACAACACAACAATAACAAAATATACAATCAAATATGGCATATTCCATGAATATAATGTACTTTTATTCATGATTATAATGCACAAACATGGTTTAAGAACTATTGTTTAATTTCAAAAGTTCCCCAGATTCGCACACTGAAAAAGTCATGCATACAAACTCAAAATTAAACTTAATGCAAAATCATAACTGCAGACGCATGCTTTTGTTATCACTCACAAATATTAAGACGGCATTCAGGATATAATCTTTCACATTCAGTGTTTTATCTTCAGATACTAAGAGTAATGGCATGGACACATTTTATAAAATTATATATACACAGGAGAGGCACTAAAAGGAAGTCACAACGACATGCTAATGTTCTGTAAGGTAAAGGTCAGATATTTATATCCGGAAAATCATAATCATTCACGAATAAATATGAAAAGGATAATTATATTTCTTGCGTAAGGACCTTCACAGTGAGCCAACGGACTACTTCACGCCATATTGGGAGTATGTCTGTATTTATCACTTCACGAGCCTTCATATCGCATTGGTATCGGTAACCATCGCACTGCTCTAACCTGTGAATAAAAGCAAAATTCCATTCAGTACGTGAAGTCTTGAGGGCGTTTTACATAGTACCAATGCATACTTTGATTATTATATGCTCTGAGCGCTTTCTCCTTTTCTTCCTTCGACATTTGACTGTTAATTTAGACTTCATTACCCCAAAAGTGAAAAAATAAACCATTGCCTAGTCTCTACACCATAACGAGCAACAATTACTTCCTCCCCGATCTTCAGCTCCCAGCTATAACGACTAATTCTTCCCTTTAACGACTAATTTCTCTCTTTTCATATCTCAGCTACGAGTATCACAATACACTAACCTGTCCTTTCCTTCTTTCACGGCCTCAATGTAGGACAAGAGCCTCCCGCCCTCAGCTGTATGTCGTAACTGTTGACTCAGCTCCCAGATGTTGCCTGAGATCCTGAGGGAAAATAGTTGAATTAGCTAATTCATGACGAACAATTCGTATTTTAAGGTCTTGAGTTAGGTTCGCAGAGATAGATAGAGACCAGTGATATAAGGAAGAGGTATAAATATACATCTGTAAAGCCATAACTTGCCGTCGATGTTAAATGAAAAAGGAGGAACTTAAACGTAAACATTCAATTTACGATAAAGCATGCAAGGAACCAAAGAATCTCCGAGAGTGACTCGTTAATACCCGCAGTGCACTTGCCTAGTCTCACTACCGATCAGGTCCGACAGTGGAGCGAAGGTTTCTGGATCGCGGGACACCTCACACAGAACTCGGCGCCGACAGTCCTCGCGGTCCAGGTGGAGGTTGTTGAAAAAGTAGTCAAGGCGGGAGAGACGCATTGACACGTCCAGGCGTTTGGCGTCTGTCGCTCCAGATGGAACTTCATCGAAGGATGTCAGGTGGAAAGGAGGGGTGATGTCTTGCGAAGAGGAAGAAGGATAGCTTGATGATGAAGATGAAGATGACGAGGATGATGAAGGACGAGATGATGATGATGAAGGGTATGATGATGAAGGGCGAGATGATGATGAAGAAGGGTATGAAGATGAAGGGCGAGATGATGATGAAGAAGGATATGATGATGAAGGATATGAAGATGTCGAAGGACGGGGGAAGAAGGTGGGCCTTGAGGAGAACGAAGGCCTAGGACGCTCTTCAGGGACGTCAATGGGTTTGATGAGGTCAAGACCTGAAGAAGGAGACAGCGTGAAGGTGTAACATTAAACCAGAATTGTATCGAAGTGTTCCAGAAGAACCAACAGTTTATGAATTGAATTATATGTAATAATTTCACAAGATAATTTAGACTGTTGCCTAAGAAAAAATGGAAATATAGGATATGAAAAGGAGGAAATGCGAAGACAGAAAGGAAAGCATGAAGTTCGAATTGGAATCTTTGTAGCAATAATAATGCCATAATGCTCTAACCACATGCAGTATTGCGGGTTATGTTGGCCTGATTTATTACCGACTTTATTAACTTCTATATTGTGAAAACAATAGATCGGGTGCGCGATATACATTTTTCAACAGGAAAGTAACAAAAGCCTACGCACCTGGCCTCTTTGTAGCGCTGTCTTGAATATTATTATGCGAGAGAACATGGTCGTTGCCCCACAAGAGCCGGTCGTTGTTCGTGGGCCTCGACGACGACGTGATCAGCGTTGCCGTGGGCCTCACCTGCTCCCCCCCGCTCGCAGGCCCTCCGATGGTGGTCCAGCCGTCGTCGTCTGCGGCGTCCCTCTTGCTTCGGGACTTGGGGAGCGAGTACGTGTTGACTTCGTTGACGTCGCTCCCCGTGAAGTATCCGAGGTACGGCATGACCCAGTCCAAGAACTTCTGGACGCCTTGCTCCACCACGGGGCTCCCCACGTCGCCCAGAAGTTCGCCGATGGTTGAATTCTCAGAGAGGTGCTTCAGGAAGAGGGAGGATATGTAGGCCGTCGGGTTGGGTGAGCGCAAGGCCTCCTCCAGGTCTCGCCCCGTCACGAAGAAGCCGCCGATGCTGATGGGGATCCAGAACTGGAAGGCGA